CAGTCAGCGTGAACTCTGCCCCGTTCCCCTTCACTGTGGGCAGGTGGAGCTGTGGCTCAGGGAGACCCAGGCTGTATTTCTGGAGAGATTGCTTCATAAGTAGTATTGTACCTTTCTCAGGAGGGATGTAAAGCCTCTGTCTTTTAAACCTGTTTTTAAAAAATGATTCTTATTACATATGCCTGTATAGGCAGAAATTCCTTTGAGCTCAAGCATGTCTGTTTTGGGGAAAAAAAAAGGATTTGTCATTGTGTTGAGGTATTTTAAATATGCATCATTTGTCACTTTTTTTTCTGGTCTTACTTAGTCACTCTCAGCAGTGACAACACACACACACAAAATGTTGCTTGCTAGCTGCAACTAGCAAGTCCTACAGGCTGCTAATCACTTCTTTAGTTGTGTTCATTGACCTCCAAAACACTTGTGTAGATCTTGTTGACCTTGGGGTTTTTGAGGAGTCCCTGGGTGCTGTAAACAGTTAATGCACTCAGCTGCTAACAGAATGGTTGATGGTTCCAGTCCACTCAGAGGTACCTCAGAATAAAGGCCTGGTGATCTACTTCCTAAAATTCAGCCATTGAAGACCCTGTGGAGCACAGTTTTGCTCTGACATACATGGGGTCGCCACGAGTCGGAGTCGACTTGACAGCCGCTGGTAGTACTGTAAAGGCCAGCTTACCCCAGGATGTCACTGGACACTTGTCCTGAGAGCAGCCAGAGGCCCACCAGCTTTAGGCTGCTGGGGTCTCAGAACCTCCCACTCCATCCTCATATGAAAATGCTCGTTTTAATTCTCCGCCCCACAGTTACATTTAGGTTGAAATAGGAACAGAGCTTTTTAATAGAAAAGGTAGGAATTTTACTTGTTAATTCTTTTTTTTTTTTTTTTTTTTGGTTTAAAACAACACCCATTTGTGATCTCACAGTTCTGTAGGTCAGAAGTTGAGGTGGACTCAGCTGGGTTCTTTGCTTGGATCAAGATATCACCCAAGGTGCATTCTTGTCTGGAGGATTTGGGGAAGAATCCACTTCTAAGCTCCTTCAGGATTTTGGCAGAATCCGTTTTGTTGGGGTGTAGGAGCTGGAAGGGGGTGGGCAGGTGGGGAGAGTCCCTCCCCGCTCCTGGAGGCTGCCATCAGGTCCTTTCCACGTGCTCCCCTCCATCTTCAGAGACAGCAACTGCATGTCACGTCCTTCTCACATTTTAAAAAAAAATATTTTATTGTGTTTTAGGTGAAAGTTTACACGGAAAATTAGTTTCCTAATTAGCAATTTTTATACAGATAGTTCCATGACGTTGGTTAGGTTTTTCATAATGTGTCAGCATTCTCATTATTTCCGTCCTGTTTGTTCTGTTTCCATTGATGTAAGCTTCCCTGCCCCTCCTTGCCTTCTCATCTTTGCGTTTGGGTAAATGTTGACCATTTGGTTTACCTGTTAATTCTGATCGAGGCCATATAGTTTGAGAGAGCCCTTTCAATTTCCAAACTTCCAGTCTCCACTGCCATGTATATGTCCTTCCTTCTCCTAAAAGCCAGTGATGGGGATGGGCGATGTTAGGATGAATACGTACGTAACTGTGAGTAGAATCAGACTCCTCAGTATCCACATGGGTCGCTATCTTTCCCTGTGGGAACATGATGACTGTTGTCATCAGCAGGTATGTTGCGAGGCCTCTGGTGTTCGATGCTGGGAATAGTGACACCATGATGGCGACAGGTGGGACCGCATCCTCCCTAGGAAGTAACGCGGCTGCGTGCCCAGGGCGGGAGTGTTCACCCCTGAGTAATGGATCCGAGAAGAGCTCCTAGGAGAGGGGCGGCTGGGGTGGGTGTGGAGGGGCAAGGGCATTCTTAGTCCACTGTTTTGTCTTCCTTCCTTGTAGGAAGAACCTACTTTAACAAGAGGCTGTCTTTTTGAGGTAAAAGCACATGTTTCTTAGTTAGATAAGAATTCTTAAGTGGGTAATTGAAGCTCAAGCATAGACGGGAATGAGTTAAATTTCTGGGGAAAACAAAAATGCAAGAAAATCCTCCTCCATTCAGCTGTGGTTTTTGTGGCAAATGCTATTAAAGTTATTACGTTGAAAGGCGATGTCTCCATGATTTTAAATTGCAACTGGGAGTGTTAAGTGAGAAGATTTGCCATGATTTCACCAGGGACACCCATGTTCAGTGCCGTGTGCTGTGGTCTCCTGGGCTGAGCCTCAGGAGGCGGCTCTGGGTACACAGAA